ATAGTTGTTTTAATTTGCATCTCTCTTAGGGCTAGGGATTTTGAGCATTTCTTCATGTGTTTGTTAGCCATCTGAATGTCGTCTTCGGTGAAGTACCAGGCTTGTCTTGACTTAGAGGAAGGGTTGGCATTAGCCAGAATTTAAAAATCCAAACCTTGTCCAGCCTATGTGATTTTCCTTCCTATGTCCTTCCTCATCCTTCTAAAAACTTGCTGAAAGAAGAACAAGATAGGGGCTCTGGTGGCCTAGTGGCAAGAAGCTGCACGGCAATCCCAGAGGTGCGTAGTTCAAATCCACCAGATGCTTTACTGGGAAAGGAGGGACAGTCTTCTCCTGTACCAGTCAGATCTGATTTGACGGTACACGCACAAAAAGATAATAAAATAAAAATTAAAAAAAGAAGGAAGAGATAGCAACTAATGACATAATGAAGTGAATTTTGAGCCTTGATGCTAAAGGAGAGATCAAGGCTTGGGTCCTCTGTCTGTCCAGACATTTGAAAGGATAAGGTTTTTACCTTAGCCCCTAAAAGCATCTCCTAAATACCCACAGAATTCTTCAGTGTTATTAAAAGTCTTTTGTTTTTAAATTGTGAAACTCTTTGTGGAAATTAAAACCAGTATTTAAACCAGATAAAAGTTTAGCTGTTAGACAGGAAGGATGTGATGTCCTCTATCCAGACAGCTCTAGCGGAAGTCCTCTAAAGTCCTCCCAGCTCTCCAGAGAACAGGTTGAAAAGCTTTCCAACAGATTCCTAGATTGCATAGAAAGATACCCAGTGTCCAGACCTGGCTCTAGCATTAATCACCTGTGTGACCTAGGCTGGGTCACTTTCTTTTTTCTAGGTTTCAACTTTCATATTTGAAATTAATTCCTTAGAACAACCTCTAGGTTGCTTCCAGACCTGAGGTTCTATGACAAGGTCATTTAGATCCACATTTTGTAGTAATCCTGCCAGCATTTGCATTTTCACAGACTGCAAAGCCTTAAAGCAAAGCCATAAAGATCACTAAGCCTCTGAGTGGAATGAAAGGAACAAGGGAAGGAACTGTGATCACCTTATCCAACTGCAGCCATGTCTGAGGTGCAAGTGTGTGACCCACAGTGAGGAGGCAAGAAACCAACTTAATAGAAATCCTTAGGTTCTAGGGAAGCATTTTCTAGAATATAATCAGCCCAAGACCCACCCCCTCAAACAAAGCTGGCTCCCCTACCTGAAGCACGGGCTGTGCTGTGCCCAGCAGCAAGAGCTCGCAGCTCAGAAAACAGCAATGATTTTAGAGTGAGAGGGAACTTGATAAATATAGGGAAATCATGCCACACCATACCTCCCTCCTGAGCTCCACCCACATCTGTATTTGCATAACAGACTATGAGTCACAATTTCAGGGCACCAGAGACTCTTGGGTTCACATGTCCAAGCAGTGAGTCCAAGTGTGAAGCTGGAGTTAAGGGTCCATTACCTGAATTCCTTGTTCTGTATAGTCACATTTTTTTCTCCTCCTTTTGTTACTTTTCATTCTAGCTGTTTTTCCTTTTCATTCCCTACTACAACAGCTTTGAATGCTTCCAAACTGCCTGACATGAGTAAAGAAGAAAGGACTTGATTTTATAGAGCAGGGACTTTCAGAACATCTAGGAAGAAGGAAATTGGGGACAATTTGGTGGAAAAGAGATGGAGGACTGATATTGTAGACTTCTCTGGAGTGACTTGGAGCTAGCAGGAATATTAGTGGTAATTAGGAGGGAAAACTTATTCATTCTTAACTACCATCCACTCTTTGGTACTACAACAGTCAATGATCGGTTGATCAGAAGGACACTGAGGGGGAGCTCTGGTGGCCTAGTGGCAAGGAGCTGCAACTACAATCCCAGAGGCGCACGGTTCAAATCCACCAGATGCTCTGCCGGGGAAGGAGGGACAATCTCCTCCTGTACCAGTCAGATCTGATTTGACGGTACACGCACACAAAAATAATAAAATAAAAAAGAAGGACACTGAGGCTGAGGACATGAGGCCACTCCTGGAGACAGGTTTCACATGTAACAGATCACAAGAGGTGGAACAAGCAGTGAGTGAGTAGAAGAATTGCTATTTCCCTCTCTGTAATAAAGGACCACTCCTCTCAGGGGACATAAGTCAGAATTAACTTGAAGGCAACAGTTTTGGGTTTGTTTTCTCAGAGAACCTGACTCCGCTGTTACCTGCAACTAATGGCTGTCCCTCTGGCTTTACTCCTCTGGCACTTTGATCACCTCTCCATTGCAATGGAGCAAGGATGAGAGCTTAAAAACCAAGGTGCACCTGATACAATCCGTGGTATTTTGAATTGCTTCTTATATATCTGAAAGTTGGTCCATGAATAAAGATGACAAGAGAAGAATAGATGCCTTTGAATTATGGTGTTGGAGAAGAGTATAGAATATCCCATGGACTGGCTAAAGAAAAAAACCAATCTGTCTTGAGGAATTGCAACCAGAGGGCTCCTTAGAGACAAGGATAGTGAAACTCTCACTTATTGTGGGCATATTTTCAGGAGGAAGCAGTCCTTGGAGAGGGATGTCATGCTGGAAGAAGTAGAGCATCAGTGAAAGAGAAGAAGTCCCTGAACAAGATGGATTGAACTGTGACTACACCGTAAGCATGAGCATGGCAGAGATCGTGGCAACGGTGCAGGACAGGGCAAGGTTCAGATCTGCCGTACACAGAGTTGCTATGATTTGTAGTTGGCGAGACAGAATCTAATAACAACAACTATTACAATATGATCTCTACTCTGCTGTATTGATATATTTACAAATCTATCCTTCCCACTTGACCACAAACTACTAAAGAGCTGAGACTTTACTGATTCATTGTTGTGTCATCTGGCAAGGATTGTAGTAAGGGCTTGATCAAGATGTGTGAAATGAATTCGGTTAGACAGATCTCCCATAATTCATGGGTATCTCTGTGATTTGGCGTATCTGTCACTTTTAATCAGACATTCACACCTAAAGTATATCTGAAAATTCCTCAGTTGTAGAGCTGAATGGGTCTGTCTACCTTACTTGCTTTCCAATCATCCTCTAATATTATCCTCTCTTACATTAGTTCCACAGCTATTGATGATTTGCAAGGCCATGTATGAACAGTTAGGGTAGCTAGAGATCAGCAGAAGCTAACAGCTAGAAAAGCCAACTTTTAAACTAACACCACACCCACCAGCCCCTCAGAGTTGCCTAATAAAGAGATAGCCAACACAATATCATTAGAGAAAGAAAGGGTGAACTGTGTAAGAGACACAGTCACAAAAGGTAAACACTGGATAGCAGGTCTAGGGAAAGGTTGCTCATTGCCAAGTCTGGCCATGAAGATGGCAAAAAGAAGCCCCTGAAATAATGCAAAAAGCAGACCAGGGAAATAGGTGAAGAAGATAGGCTTTCTAACAGAAAAAGAAAAAAAAAAGAACAGAAGAAATTCGAGGAACTAAAAGCAGAGGCCACAGGCAAAGTTCCCCCAGCCACAGATGGAATTAAGAAATCTAAGGGAAAAAATAAGCTGGTTGTTTTTTTTTTTTTTTTGTGACTGAAGCAATTATACCCTTACTCCGTTCCAGTGTAAAACATCTGGCTTCTCCAGTATACCAACTATAAATAAAACAGTATTATCTTGGAGCCTGTTGTACATTTAAGAATAAACTTTTGTAAAACAATGAAGGGGGGAAAGGTGAACACTTTTACATACACAATCCTGCATAATCAGACTTAATAAGCATTAATCTACAAGCAGCTTTCTAAGGCAGGTGGCAGAAATGAGCAGATATAGGCAGTGACTAGGAATATGCTCTGATCCATACACAGGACTAAGACTCATACTGATCCTACAAGCAATGGATCTGAACCTTGTCCTATCCAGCATGATCCTCATGCTCTCTGCCATCATCAAGCCCATTGTGCTGCTCACTGTGTCAGTCTATCTCATTGAGGGTCTTTCCCTCTTTCTCTGACCCTCTACTTTTACTAGCATGATGTCGCTAAAAACAGATTCTTCCTGAAAATATGCCCAAAGTAAGGTAGATGCAGTTTCACCATCCTTGCCTGTAAGGAGCACTCAGGTCACACTTCCTTCAAGACTGATTTGTTTGTTCTTGTGTTAGTCCCTGTTGTGTTCAATACTCCTCCAACGCCGCAAGTCAAATGCATCAATTCTTCTTCAAACTTCCGCATGCACTGCCCAACTTTCAGATGAACAGGAAGCAATTGAAAGTATTATGTATTGGCTCAGCTGCACTTTGTTCTTTCAACTGACTTCCTTACTCTTTAAGACTTCAGACAGGTCTTTGACGGCAACTTTCCCTAACATAACATGTCTTTTGACTTCTTTTTTTTATTATTTTATTTTAATAATTTTAATAAACATTTACAGATATTTTGGATTTCCATTCATTCAGTCTTTTGACTTCTTAACTGCTGCAATACCAAGGGCATTGATTGACTGTGGATCCAAGTAAAACAAAATCATTGGTAACTTCAATCTTTTCTCTGTCTATCATGATGTTGCTTATTGGTCCAATGGGGAGAATTTTTGTTTTCTTGATGTTGATATATAACCCATATTGAAGATTGCAGTCTTTGCTCTGCTTTGGTAAAAGCCCCAAGTCGTCTTCACTTTCTGTAAGAAAGACTGTGTTATCTGTATAATGCAGGTTGTTAATGACTTGTCCTCCAATTCTGATGCCACATTCTTCTTCATATAGTCTTGACTTCTCAAATGACTTGCTCAGCATACAAGACTGAATAAGTGTGAAGAAAGGATTCAACCCAATGCACTTTACTCCTGACTTTAAACTACTCAGTTGTTCCCTTATTCTGTCTGGACAACACCTTAATAGTGTACATATAGATTTCACATGAGCACAATTAACTATTCCAGGGGTCCTATTTTTCTCAGTGTTAGCCATAATTTGTTATGATCCAAATAGTCAAATGTCTTTGCATAATTAATTAACCAAAGGTGACTATCTCTTTGGTATTCTCTGCTTTCAGCCAAGATCTACCTGAAACCAGTAATGATTTCCCTTGTGTCATGGCCTCTTTTGAATCCAGCTTGAATTTCTGATAGTTCTAGCCATTTAAAAAATTATCTTCCCCAACTTGATGGTTATATAGGATTTCTTTACAACAACATAGGGTTTCTAAGGCTGTAAAGACAAAAGCAGATTGCTGTTGAGATCAACTGTCAACTTTGTATTAGGAGTTGGCTATTTTAACCATTACAGCACTTGCTATTAAATCAATGGAATGTCTTAAAATTGAACTTAGAATCAGCCTTCAGTGATGGAGTTGTTGTTATTAGGTGTCATCGAGTCAACTACTACCCATAGTACCTTTATAAACAAGTCTGAACCTTGACCTAGCCTGCTCAGTCATCATGCTCTCTGCTCCAGCCTATGGGTACAACCAATTTGTCTGTCCACCGCCTTGAAGGTCTTTCACTCTCTTTGACCCTTCACCTTTCCTAGCATGATGTCTTTTCCAAGGACTAGCCCCTCCAGATGACATGCCCAAAGTATGTGAGATAATTTCCACCATTTCTTTTTTTTATTTATTTTATTTTTTGTGTGTGAGTGTACTGTCAAATCAAATCTGACTGGTGCAGGAGGAGATTGTCCCTCCTTCCCCAGCAGAGCATCTGGTAATTTCCACCATTCTTGCTACCAAGGAGCACCTGACTGCACTTTCTCCAAAACAAATTTAATTGTTATTTTGACAGTTGATGGGATATTCAATACTCGTCACCAACATCATTACTCTTCAGGTGTCGATGAAGGAGATACATATTATGTACTTGTTTTGTCTGTCTTATGAATTAATACTTAGTCTAATGTGTATTCTCTTTATTATTTTTGAACTTTGAGTATGATTTTTTATTCCATTTCAAAAAAATTATCTTCAGCAAGGTTTTACTTGGATATGATATTATTCAAATATTTCCACAATCTGTTGGACCACCTTTTGGGGGAATATAAACAAATATGAATCTTTTCCAGTCAGTTGGCCAGGTAGCCATAGAGTAATATAGTCAGGTGATACTCTATAGTAAATAAAAACAATTAGTCGACGCCCTCGCCTAGTGCCCCCGCCCGGCGTGCCCGGGATCCGCGCGGCGCGGGCATGCCCAGTGCGGGCGCAGCTGCCCCGGCGTGGGAGCGCCGAGCCGAGAGGGCCCTTGGCGGGCGAGGGCCGGGGCCGCGGCGGCAGCGGAGCTGCCTGGCCCTTCATGATGAGAGGTTCTGAGGAGCTTCTCTCTTTTTCTGTGTAGTTGGTATATTGGAAGGTGAAGAGATGGCTGACAGTGTCAAAACCTTCCTCCAGGACCTGGCCAGGGGCATCAAAGACTCCATCTGGGGTATCTGTACCATCTCAAAGCTGGATGCTCGGATACAGCAGAAGAGGGAAGAGGAGCGACGGAGACGGGCCAGCAGCGTCCTTGCGCAGAGGAGAACACAGAGTGTAGAGCGGAAGCAGGAGAGTGAACCACGTATTATTAGTAGGATTATCCTGTGCTGTGCCTGGAATGGAGGCGTATTCTGGTTTAGTCTCATGCTGTTTTACCGAGTGTTTATTCCTGTGCTTCAGTCAGTGACAGCGCAAATTATTGGTGATCCGTTACTACATGGAGATGTTTGGTCATGGCTGGAATTCCTCCTCACGTCAATTTTCAGTGCTCTCTGGGTGCTTCCCCTGTTTGTGCTGAGCAAAGTTGTCAATGCCATTTGGTTCCAAGATATAGCTGATCTGGCATTTGAAGTATCAGGAAAGAAGCCGCACCCATTCCCTAGTGTCAGTAAAATAATTGCTGATATGCTCTTCAACCTTTTGTTGCAAGCTCTTTTCCTTTTCCAGGGGATGTTTGTGAGTCTCTTCCGCATCCATCTCGTTGGTCAACTGGTTAGCCTCCTGCATATGTCCCTTCTCTATTCACTTTACTGCTTTGAATATCGCTGGTTTAATAAAGGAATTGAGATGCACCAGCGATTGTCAAACATAGAAAGGAATTGGCCTTATTACTTCGGATTTGGTTTGCCCTTGGCTTTCCTCACAGCAATGCAGTCCTCATACATTATCAGTGGCTGCCTCTTCTCCATCCTCTTTCCTTTATTCATTATCAGCGCTAATGAGGCAAAGACTCCCGGCAAAGCATACCTTTTTCAGTTGCGCCTCTTCTCCTTGGTGGTCTTCTTAAGCAACAGACTTTTCCACAAGACAGTCTACCTGCAGTCAGCTCTGAGCAGCTCAGCCTCTGCAAAGAAGTTCCCTTCACCACATCCATCTCCTGCCAAACTGAAGGCTGCCGCCGACCACTGATTTCCCCTGCCATCCCGGACGGATGTATGGGACACTTCTCCCTGCTGACCTCCCCCTAACCAGGGAAGGCAGGACCCAGTCTGCCAGGGGTCCTTTGCCTATTTCCTTATCTCTAACAAACTTAAGCAGAATCTTCTGACACCAGTGTATAGATTTTTAGCACCCCAGTACTTCAAAACAAGTGAAAAGCCTGTGGTCTCAATGGACTGCAGGTTTTTCTGTGGCTATTATATAGCATTTGCTGGACCCGGGGCCTGGACTGATTTAAATACTCTTTCTCCCTGTGCCATTTATCATCCCACCTTCCTTCCTGCCTTCGACTCTTGGATGAATGTGTTTTGTAAATCTAGTTGTTGTAATTTGTGAATTTGTTATGTTCCTTTGGTTCTGTGAAGCACATACATTGGATGTGGCTAGTAAAGGAGGATCTCAGTCACTCCTGGTCACGCCCCTTAATAGCCATCACTGTCTTGTTTTCTGTAACTCAGGTGAGGTTTTGGTCTTGTTCCACTGCAAAAAAAAAAGGATCTGAAGAGATGAGATGCAACAAGAAGAAACACCTCTCAGCCACATCATTTGGGCTTTGAGGTGTGATTTTCTTTCTTTCCCGTGAAGGGCAAAGACTTTCTTCACTGGTACATAAAGTATCCCAACTACAGGGAGTTAGCAAGTCCGGACAAGTGCCACTGAGACACCAAATGCTCAGAGATGGTCTGAGGTTCTGGAAGTCTCAGTTTACTGTTGGCCATTGCTGGGCCTGTCTTCAAAGGAATATTGGGTGCTGCAAATAGGAACTGATGGGGCAAATTTATTAAACCCATTGAACTTCTTATTTGTTGGCTTTTTTTCTGTCATTTTAAGAAACTATATGAGTGAGGAAAGGATGTCAAAGCAATTGTACAGTTTTAGAATATCAAAATTAAACACCAACTGGTTTCCAAAAAAAAAAACAATTAGTCACAGAGAAGAAGAGGGTAACATTGTGAAAATTGTAATTCCTGTCATAAAACAAAATGAGTATGAATGGTTGAATAGAAAATGGAGGAAAATAAAGTAAAAAAATTAGTTATAAGAAAAACAAAATTATGATTAGGCAGAGGAGAAAGGGTATTGCTCTGTGAAATACCTGTTTGTATGCAAATTGCCACTTGTACACATGGAGGAAAATCATTTTGGCCACAAGAGGGCAGCAACCAATGGACAGAGAGCCTTCTGCCATTGATAAAGACTAGGGCAAACAGTCGCGTGTAATTCTCTTACTAAACCCTTAATTAATGTTGATTCAACAGCCTAATCTATTACAACTAATCACAGTCTCCCTCTCCTCCTCACAGAGCATGAACAGTGAAGAAACAGCCCCTCTGGAAAGGCATGATTGCTTGAAGGTGGGTTCAGAGGACAAGTGTGAAAATAACCTTTCATTTACTATTAAGGATGAAGATTTCCTGGGGAGAAAAGTGCAACAATGAATGCATGGAGCAAGAAGCTGCACTGCAAACCCAGAGGCACACGGTTCTAATCCACCAGATGCTCTGCTGGAGAAGGGGCAATCTCCTCCTGTACTAGTCAGATCCAATTTGACAGTACACACATAAAAAATAATAAAATTTTTTAAAAAAAGAATGCATGGAAACCCTAAATCTCTGTAAACTTTCCTTAAAATTAATTTTTTTGAAAAAGAAAGAGAATGAAGATGTCTCTGTAGGATGGGATGAAAGTCTATATAGATAAGCTTGGAATAAAAGTATGACCACTTGAAAATGTTCCAGGCAGTCCACCTTCCCAAAGCTTCTGTACCTCACTTCCCCCTATAGCTGCTAACCTCTTAATCTAATGTATGACATTTCTGACGTTGTTGCTGTGAGATTCTGTCAGGTCGACTACGAGTCATAGTAACACTAAGAACAACAGATCTGAGCCTGGGCCTAGGCAGCACCATCCTCTTCATACTCAAGTCTACTGTGGCACTCATTGTACCAATCCATCTTGTTAAGGATCTTCCCCTCTTCCATGGATCCTCTCCCTTTCCCAGCATAATTTCTTTCTCCAAAACTGGTTCCTCCTTAAAATAAACCGAGCCAGTGAGGTGAGGTCTCATCCCCTTGGCCTCTAAGGAAACACTCTGGTTGCATTTTTTCAAGAGATATTTGATTGTTCTTCTGGAAGTCCATGATATATTCAATACTCCTCTCCAATATCATAATCCAAAGGCTTCGATTCTTCTTCAGTTTTCCTTATTCATTGTCCAACTTTTCAATTTCTCAGGAAGCAATAGAAAATACCAACCTTTGATGTTTATGATAGGAACTCATTTTTTTATGATTTCCCAGTGCCACAAAAATTGTTGTGACAGGTGAAAGATTAATGCCAGTCAACTGGAAGAATATGTGGGTCTCTTTGGAATGATTTTGATTTTGCCACTTTCTTTTAAATATTTGTACTACTTAAGCCTGTGTGCATAGTGCAATATACCTGCAAGTATACCCATCTCACCCTCATATCAGTCTTGATAGCTTGATGAAGACTTTGAGAACTTCCTCCAAAAGAATCAATCCCCTTGGAACTGGAGACCAAAGGAGAGGAAAGGGAGGTGGGGAGAAGCCACCTCTCTCCAGAGATCATTACCAGTCACAGCAGCTGGTTCAGGGAGGGTATGAACTAAGATGATCCATCAGAGCACATATTTAATGGCTGTGGAAAACCAAGTATTGGTTTCATGGATGCTGGAGTCATTTTCCTGCCATAAATGGCAAAGTCAAGAACAAATACTATTTCACAGAAAAAGACAAAGTTGAAAGAATCACAGTGAAGTAGAGCAAATGAACAAACCACTCTTGGAGAAGAACCTATTGTCTGTACTTTTCAGTCACAAGAGCCAATTATTTCTCCTTGTTGTTTAGACTAGCTCAAATTCTATGTTCTACTACTTGCAAGCCAAAGCATGCCTAACCTAGAAAGTTTTGGGCACAGTAACTGATCTAGGATGAGAGGAGAGGTGTCCATGGACTACATTTTCAGGACAGTGGTGACAACAGTGAAGGTCTCCTTCCTTACACTGTGCTTAGAAAGATGCTTCATCAGTAGAAGACCTCCCAGCCCTGATGGCAAACTCTGGTGGAAGCAAAATAGGAATCTCGAACTGAACACATGAGAACACATCTAAAGGACCCTTCTCAGAATGGAGGCAGAAATCTTTGCAGAAGTCCCCAAAAGCCCTGCTTTACTTTATGATCAGGACAAGTTTCTTAACTTGTATCAAAGCATCCTTAACTATAATAATAGGGCTCCTTGCCTCACAGAGATGTGAGATTGGATTGAGATAAGGGTGCAGAGTCTAGTACCAAACTGTCAGTCTTCAATCCAGATCCATTCTGGTCCGTTGTGCAACCTTGGACAGCTTAGACATTCACTTTGTGCCTCAGCTTTTTAACCTGTAAAATGAGAATAAAAATGGAACCTGTCTTAGTTCTCTAATACTGCCATTAAAAAAAAAACAACCCACAGATTACTCCATCCCCGGAGACCTGTTTTTCACCAATGTCTTTAGTTCTTGATCATGCTACTTCCTGAAATGGATGAATGGCTGCCAATTCTTTTTGATACAGTGATTCTGTGTGTTCCTTCCATCTACATCTAAGGCTTCCTGTGTTGTTCACTATTTTACCTATCTCGTTCATCGTCATCCAGTTGACAAGAACTCACAGTGATCTTCCATTTGGTTTCCAAAGTTGTAAATATATTTTTTTAATTTATTATTATTATTATTATTATTATTATCATTATCATTATTATCATTATTATGTGTGTGTGTGTGTGTGTGTGTGTGTGTGTACCCTCAAATCAGATTTGACTGGTACAGGAGGAAATTGTTCCTCCTTCTCCAGCAAAGTATTTGGTGGATTTGAATCACTTAC